CTTGGCTTTAAACCTATACAGACAGGTTCATACATACCAGTACCAGATATATAGAATCAAAAATCAAATCAAAGTGTATTTTCCTTTTGAAAATAAAACAATATAATAGAATATTGACAAATTAACATTTGTCAAAGCAATGAAATTCTCCCTGTTCACCATTTGGAGCATTTTTGTTTGTTAGCCATGCACTTGTATGTATAACAGTGTGTTTATCTTTAATAAATGGAATTTTTAAAATGTAAAGAATGTAGAATGTAAGCAATTATGGGAGAATGTAACATAAAAGGAGTGAAAAGAAGACCAAAATAATTTAAAATAAGACAAAAGACCAAGATAATCTCAAAAATAAGAGGAAAAGAATGAATCACTTTAAAAAGAGCGAGTATAACAAATGAATATAAAAGAAAATGTGCTGAGAGTGAATATACCTTGAATGATGTTAAAATATTTGAAAATACACGCAACAATAAAAACAGAAAAATAAAATAGAAAACACAACTACAATAGCTGTCATTATTTTAGCAACTTCTTTTATATTATAAGAAACTTTATTCTAAATTTGTATGTACTGTATTTGGATAGTTGATTCCTCTGTAGACTTCCTCCAGGGCATTGGGGTGTACTTGTTTAGTTGTTTACTTGTTTACATGTCTACAAAAATCTTAATTAAAAGTAAATAATTGTAGTTTTGAGAATAAGTACTGTTTAAAGCATCTTCACTATTTAATTATTCTTTTATTATTCATTACATTTGTGTGTTACAGAACTCTGAAAATGATTATTGGGCACTAAATTAAAAACATTATCATTAATATCAATAATTGTTACTGAGAAATAGATTATAAATATACAAAACAGTGAAAAGCAGTAATGAGATATGATTGAACCACAAATAAAATACTCTTAAAAATTACTGTTTGTTTATGATGGAAATTATATCATTATAAGTAACTGTTTATAATGTGTTGTGACAATAAAATACTGTATATATGTATTCCTGTGTATATTTGTTACAGTACTTTACTTTGATTTATTATAGCTATGCTCTAGAGAGCAAAAATGTTTGTTGTACAACATTTATATAGTATGAGTGTGTAGTGAATAAGGCCAAAAGAAATATATTGTTTGTTTGCCTTTCTTTTCTTTTCTTTTTTTTTTTTAATTAAAAAAAAAATGATAAATAGGGGTGGGTGGAAAAAGTTTTTTTTTTATTTATTTATTTTTTTAAAATACTCATCAGATGGAATAAAAATAAACCACAGAAGCCTAGAATGGCAATATCTTACATCAGACAACACCTTTAGACTAATTTGTAGAGCATCTGGCAAAAAATAAAGATAAATTCACTCATATTTTTTTTAATTTGTTAAGAAAAAAGCTAAAAAAAAACTTTTCTTAGGTTTTTTGTTTTTCCGCCCCTATTTTTTCCAGTGAGTTAGGGGCGGGCGCTGAGGGCAAACAAACAACTTTTTTTTTTTGGCCTAAAAATGTATCAGAAAGTGTCTTAAAAAGAGGTCTAAATTACAATTTGCAAGTATACCTTCATATAATTAAAATAATGACACTAAAAGTTGATGGAAATTGCTGGCGATTGATACGGAAGTCTTATTCATCTCCATGGTTTCACATCGAGATTTCAGCATAAAATCTCATCGATTCTTCTTGTTCTTGCAAATTGGGGTAAGGTCACAGGAAGGTTTCGACTTAAAAATTAGGAAACTACATTTATATTAATTATTTTAGGCAATACCTGGTTTAACATGAATTTCACGCCTTCCCGTTCTTGAAGTCCACAATCTGGCCTCTCCCTCCCAGGTTCGAGTACTAATAGGCCTAGGAGGCGTATCCTAGGGAGGCCTACAGGTAGTGATACTGTCACCGGCCTACTCAGGAGGCTATCTAAATCTGTCAATGATATTTTGACTAAAAACCATCCAGACCATATGAAAATTAAAATAATCGCTAAATAATATAAGATTCGATGTTTCTCACTGGACATTTTAGAAATGTACACAGTCAGAAGAACCAGTCATATTAATTATATAAATCTAATGTTGTTTTTTTTTGTTTTTTTTTGTAAAACTGCGTACGCTGCATTAAAATTGTAACACTGTTGTACCATTCAGCACGCGGTGGTTGATAAACGTTGCATAACAGAATTACAATCAAAACAAAAGGCATTAAACTAGTGCAAATACAGTATTATTTCTTTTCTAAAGTTATCTACTGTACTGCTATTGAGCCATATTTACTGTACATTGATCTGAGACTAAAATTTAAGAACATATGAAATTTAAAAAACAAAAAATCCTGTATAAGGCTGTAGACACATGCTCCAGCTGACAGCCTATTTAAGGCCTAAGTAAAGGCCAACAAATGTATTGATATTTGAAAATGCCATGTCATCATGTTACGCCTGATTGATCACTATGCTAAAGGTGAAATATTCTGTTATTAAAAGACATAGGCCTAATACAACACACATCTTAGTAGAACCTGCCTGTCTGCAGAAAAAATTAAGGTAATTTAATATCTAAACAATTTAATTTGATAAATAATCACAATAAATCTTAATTACATATATAAAATATTACACTTAATAATTAGCAACATTTGTAAAATAGTACCGTATCCAATCCAAGTATGTACGTCAGCATTAACCAGGAAGTACTTGGACCTACTCTACAGTGGCTACTATAGGGAGTGGCACTGTACAATGATGGTTCTCTTGTAAATTGCTACTGGTTAGTTTTAGGATAATTCATGGGTTAGTTTTCTTTATTTTCTTGTAAACTTTTCTTAAGCACATTGAGAAAACTTTTAATTGGTATAAGTGTGCAGCACATAACAACATTGATATGCAGTCAAATTTTTAAAATTTAGTGGCATAATGCGGGAGGGGGGTCCACTTGGGACGATGGATTGTTGGCTAAGAATCATTATGATTACTTTACCCTGTTTTTAAGCCACCCCCAGCATTGAGGTATCCAAATATGGTGTATTTTTGTTACTAGTGTAACTAGTGTAACTACATTATATATTCTGTTATTTTTTAAAACATTGTTCAGCCAAAAACCACAATATTAAAATATATAAATTCTTATTAGTATTGGTACTAAATTTGGGGGAAAAAAATGGAAATACTGTATTTAGAATATGAAGTCAAAAGCAATATGTTGAAGCAATCCACAATGTTTCCACATATTTTTTGACACTTTTACATAATTGTATTAAAGACTCAAAAAGTGTTGTAGAAAAGGAAACCCCTGACGACAGCAAGTAGATGAAGTCAAGTGATCCAAAAGTATAACAATTTACCAAGGGTTTCAGAGGCTTATTTAATCAATTTTCGAGTCGAGTGTAAAAAATAAATATATTTTTTTTTCTCCCCACTCAAATTGTGGTTTTTTTTCAGACGGGGACAATTAATTTACAAGCTTTTGTTGTTGTTACCTAAAGAGGACACCATGAATCGTTTTGAGTAGTCTCCTTGTATGTAAATAGATACTAATACTAGAAATTGCAAATTGCAAGTGAAGTGCTGCGAAATAAAACTGCATAAAATGTTCTTCGAACAAAATTATTTATGCGAGTCAAGTGAAAATAATGAATAATAAAAATATAACAAATAATATGAGAGACGACCCATTGTCTATATTAGAACAGCGTTGGTACCGTGTACAATAGTGTTTTGCTGCAGTGACATCTCGCTGCTGGCGACTCGCTGCTGCTGGCGATGACTCGCTGCTGGCGAATCGATCTGCGCATAAA